CAGCCCAGCTTCGTTGTTCGTTTTTTTACCCCTGTGCCCTCTTTTACATTACCCAAACCCAAACATTGTGCCCCGCTAAAGAACAGAAAGTTGACATCTTCTCCCCTCTCCTTTTCTCCGACGACTTACGATAACTAGTCGTCCTCCTCTTCTCCGACATATCTCATGCTACCTATCATCTTCCTCCTCTTCTCACAAGTTTCTCACGCTACCTATGGCTTCTTCCTCCTCTTAGCAGCGGCAAGAACTTTTTTTTATGCCCGTTGGATGCTTTTGGATATGTTGTATGTAGTGGTGTAGCTCTGATTTCCTGGTTCGTACTTGGCATTGGCATGGATTTGAGGTGGATGCGGCTGTCATGAACTAGAATATTGTGGTAATTATCATGTATATGTCTTCAAGCAACGCAAGCTCTTAAAGTTCATAGTTTCTTATAATTTTGACAACGTAGGAAGTTTATTTTCTTTCTTCTATTGAGTTGTTGAATGATTTGTTTATTGATGCCAAAGGATAAATGTGGTCGAACTCCATGCTTTGTTTATACACGTGTGTAATGTTTCAACCTTCAAGGAAAACTCATTAGTTTAAGGTTTTGTTTAGGGCAGCGCTTTACTTTTCATATAAAACTCATCTATTGAAGTTCTCTTTTTCCTTTGGTTGTAATTTTCTTTATGATTGTTCAATAATGATTAAATTGTACGTTGATGGACATGCATGGTGTTTCGATAACCTTTTCAAGTTTTCTTGAGCAATTGTTATGTCGCTTGAATGTCTATGATTCTATGGGTAACAACAACATCAATGTGTCATTAGTAGAGAATATGTGTGCGTATGCATCTTCGTTTTGATGGATCTAAGTTATGTTGAGCCTCCATTCTCCTATTTCTAGAAATTGTGTTGAAGGTTGTTTGCCAAGTTTCCTTGTCTCTCAATATTTACCTATGGTTATTGATTTATTATAATTTTTGTTGCACTCAGATCGAAAAACTCTACGGGAGCCTTCTCTATTGTCGATGATTACTTTCAGGCTAACCCTACCCCTGCATGTTTGCTCTCCCTCTGACCTTCTCTATATAATATTGGCCAATGAAGATGAAATCAATTCATAATGTGATCTTGCCACTGCTTAGGAATGGCTTAGATGGTTCTTCTGTGATTGTAATTTCATTAAGCTATTCTCTTGCCATGATGTCAGAGAGCAGCTTGAATGTTCAGTGCATTTGGGAAACAGTTGCGTTTTAAATACATAAGAATCGTATTGTATGTGTGTAATTGTTCCAATATTCTAGTTATGTAGCTAGAACCATGTTCAACTATAATTTTGAATCAGTTTTTTGAGGGATCCGGCTTTAATGAGCTGGTTCCAAATAGAAAAGATTATTATGCTTGGTTTTTTGAGATTATTTCCCAACTGTATTTGATTTAGTAAAATTTATGTTACACTCATTTTAAAAAACCTTGATGGTTTTAAAATTTATGTAATGAAACTTTAATCAGACATCCTCTAGTGTGCATCGTCTTAATTGAATCAAATGCTTGGATTTCTATTTTGCAAATTCATGTGGGTAATGTTGTTCCTACAGTGTTTCTAGCAATAAACTGTTTTGGATTTGTTTCATGTAAGCCGCAGGAAAGATAAGCTCCATAATTTCAGGGACCTCCCGATGAATGCTCTGCCACTGCGGACTACAACTTTCACTACAAACGTCACATTAGACACATAGCTACGGGAGACAGTTCTAAAGCTGTCTGTGGATCATCGCAGAGCAGTGTGGCTTATTCTAATGGGTAAAAAGTCCAGCGGATTCCACTGCCGACGGTGATCATGAATGGAAGCAACACTGGAAGCCATGTAGCACGAGACATACATCGTCTTCATGCTAAAGACAATATAATCATTATATTAATGATAATTTTAAAAGTTTTTTACTTTTTTTTTGCACTCTTGCTACTCGTTGTTAAATGAGATGTATATCTAAATTTTTATACTATTATAAAGTGAATTTCTACTTTTGAAGTAACAAATATATAGCGTCCAGCACAAGTTTCACAGCAGCAGGTTTCTAGGACAGCTAGGCTCCAATTGATAAACTATTAAGCTGCAACTGCCCCAAACATACCTTAAATATCAAGGGCACCTATATTAGATTATTGTAAGATTTTTATAATAATATGAAAATCGACATTCATATTACTTTCTTTTCTTTGGGTTACTATAATTTAGAAGTATAATTGCTCTTGATATATTTTAGATAACTATTATATTATTTTAATATTTGTTTTCAGATTTAAGCTTTTAAATAAGAAGAATACTAGTAGCTGAGCAAATACGATAACAACCAGAAAAGTAATTTTATTTATTAATTAAAATACTTTCTTTAGTTGACACTTTCAATAATTTTTTTTTTAATTAAGGTATCAGTGATAGAATTACAAATATAAAAAACTTAATTCCATTATCGAACCGTCGGTTCTCACCTTGATTAATTCAAACTTCGGATCGGGTCGTGACAATAAATCACTTCAATGCATTTAATTTAGTGTTTCTTTGTATAATGGTTTGGTGAACATGTTAATTCTAATATTAACACATTTTGATACTAGATGTTATGTGCATCGTGCAATATAATAAAGTTATGGTGATATATGCTTTGAAACTAGTTGCATATTGTAATGTACGACATTGAAATAGTTGGAGCATGATGGGATTTGCATTGAATTTAAACTAGTTTTATGACATCGTGGCATCCAAAAATTGAAGTAAACTAATAATCAACGTACAATAAATTACCAGAAAATTCATATTAAAATGTATTATTTACATAGAAATTTCCCTTTAATTATTTAATTAACTGATATATATTTAGTTTGTAAATTAGCTTTTATGTCACTAAAATTTGTTGCTAACTCAACTTAATTTTGTTATCATTCCATAACAAACAACTGTCATAAATCAATAAAGCAATTTTGTTATAATAAACAACTATTCCTTGATCAATATTATTTTAGCAATAACTATTCTATCACAAATAATATTTTATAATAAATTTGGGTGAATAGTTGTTACAAAAAAAACTGTCATAAAAGACTTCATGACAATCATATTTTATCTCATAAATCAATAAAAAAAAGTAATTAGGCAAAACTGAATCCCCTTCACGGTCATTGATTTTCTTCTCTTCATCAAAAAATTTTAGTGACAATGTAGCAAACTATTCAAGCATAAACAATGCTCATGCTAAATTTGAGAAGATGTTAGAAATAAAAGATTCTTCACAAAAAAAAAAAAGTGAAAAAGTGAAAAAAAGGCTTTTTTCACAAATCCGCTTTTTTCCTATGCCTTCTCTTTTCGACAACGGTTTCTTGAAGAAGATTCTGAAATATAGTGAGTGATCATTTTTATATACGAATTGTTATTGCACAAATTTTGGATTAGTCGAGTTCTTGATATATTGACTTAGAGAGCCTCTTCGGGATGCAATTTATTAAGAAGGGCAAAATTGTGCTTTGGAAATAGGTGATGAGGTATATGGGAGAACAACATCCAATAAAAAAATGTCATCAATCATAACAAGCTGATTTGAAGTGGTATGGATCATTAAGCATCTTATAAGTTAAAGTATGATTAAGGTGAGTAGAATGTGTACCTAGAAAAGGATGTTGATCATGAGAAAATGGACAAGAGACGCAAATGCCACTATGTTTGTAAGAACACTTAAGGTAGAGGATTTAAATGTGTTAAAGTGTGGATGCATGTATCATTGATATTGCTTTAATATATATATATAGTGACTTTTTATGTGTTCACAAAAGGAATCATCAAGACCAAGTATGTGACATCTATTAAAAAACTTGATATGAGCAAAGTTTACGGTATAGATGGGTTGAGAATTAACCAAGAATTGACCCTTTGACCAATAATTAAAAATTGAGTTAACATGTGTCAACTCACTCAAGTCATAATTGAGTTTAGATGAATAAATTTGAACATAGTTGGCTCAGCTAATGTTAACTCAACAAGATAATGCTCAATTTAAAAGAAGTTTGATGAAAATGTCCTGAAAATCCTGAAGGGTAATGAACATGATCCATGAAAAACTTCATGAGTTGCACACTTCAAAAAATTACAAAATTTTGATGTACAATGAGACCTGACTAAATATTGATACTAAACTAAACAGAAAAATCCCTAGAGTTAATTAGATAACTCAATTTTTGGACTTCATTTTAGGCTCAAATGAACTAAAATTTGAACAAAATTATAATGCCAATATAACAATATTCGTGAAATAATAATCGCAAACAAAATCAACAAGAAGAACAAAAAATAGAAGGTAAAAAAATGATTTCCAATAACGAAACAAATATTCTCGCAAAAAAATTGTACTTGCTAAAAAACCAAATCATAGAGAAAGACCTAATCAATGCAGAGAGGAAAAAAACAAAAAATAGCTTATATTGTCAAAGAAGTTCGAACGCTTAGTAAAGGATACTCTAGCCTAATCCATATAGCATCCAATGAATGATTTAGCAGCTAGCAACTCAAAAAAAAAAAAAAAAAAAAAAAAAAAAGAAAAAAAAAGCTCAAGCTAGTCAGCAAAACAGTGCAGTGGAAGCAACTAAGTTTGATATCATTCACCATTTGTACAATGAACTAACCTCTTTGAAGGTTCATGATAAAATCTATGTCATAGAAGATCTTCTATGTTCATTTTAAAACAGCCTGATACTCCACATCAGCTGGGAAGAGGATAAAACTCAATCCAACTTCAACATATATAATTTTGAATATAATAGAAACCTCATTTCTAGTGCTAGAAAATACTCTTCTTCTTAGACTAGCTCCATTTGATATGGTTTGGATAATACCGTTTCTCTTTTATGATGCAATTCATCTAGCTTAAATCTTAATAACATGTATTGAGCGACCTTACTGTTCAACATCAGGTTTGATACTCAAAAAGTACAACTTGGCTAGAAGTAGAGAAGGAAAAACGTACTTAGCTTACTTTAGACACGATACCAATAAAATGCAACAGTAAAAGAAGCAAGTCATGAAGTCCACTCCAAGTTGTTACGTTATGGCCATAACTTCTGCCACTAATGTCAAAGTACAATTGTTCCTGTGATGTAATGTAGTTTGAAAATTAGGGGTGAAAATTATTAAAGTTTCAGGGAATGCAACTATCATTTCAGTCAGGCCATCATGAGTCAAGTTTTTTTTTTCTTATGTTCACTTGTGGAACCAAATATGAGTTATTTCTCTATTTGGAAATCTCATAAAAAATATAAATTTTATGTGACTGTATGAATATATATATATAGTTTTTTGTCCCTAGTGGAAAAAAAATAAGTAAATTAATAATAAAGCAACCAGCACAACAGGAAGAAGTGACTAAGTTCCGTAAGAGATTACATCAACGATAATAACCTTAATCAGATTCGTACAAGATTTAGCTACCCTTAACTAATGTCTGATTACCAACCAGACTCTACTTTCCTTCGCCTTAATCACCAAACAAAGACAAAAAATTTCATTTAACAATCATATATGTCTATTTCGAACAAGTCGTTGGTTCAAATTTAGTCAACATATCATTCAGTGCCAAAAAGAGACCGTCAGCGGCACCCAACCACCCCTTGTGTAAAATAAAAAATATATATAAATTAACATAATTATTCCCTTCAGAGTAAAATAGTTCCAAAAAAAATACAATTTTGTACACCTTAATAGATTATATGCCTATCAAGCATTAAATCTATATTAAATAAGATTAGAATAGAAATTTAGATCCAGGTCCTACGAACATAAACCAGAAGGCAAAAATATAGTACTGTAAATCAAGTACATAACTTCCAAACAAGCAAGAAATTGAATATGTAATTTCATGGCATTCAATCAATTACCTAATGTAAATATTTTCTACTTCAAATATAGATCTCCAAACCCTAAACTCTAACCAGCCAGCCCTTTAAAACATAGAAACCCAAATGACTACTAGAGAATCGGGTGATCAACTTTTGTTGGGAAATGAAGATCAATAAATTACTCAGTAAAAGCCTCCATGGAATAATAAACGAGACAGAGAAGAATAAGCAAAACGACTCACCTGCTACACCGGTCGATCCATGAAACAATACAAGACATTCCGATGCAGCAGCAGCTTCATCCCCTCTGAAAGAAAGTAGCAAGAATGATTTAGGTTTGTTTTAAGGGAATGGACAATGACTTGAGATTAGGGTTTACGATGAGCCGGGCCTTCTTTACCTTCTTTACTAAATAAAAAAATAAAAAAATAATCGAAGAAGGAAGACTGGGGTCGTTCGTTAGGGGAAAATTAAATCAAAATTTTCCCGTTCGTTAGACATGGAAGAGAGCAGAAGAGTACTCTGCTGCTATCCTTCTCACCTCTACTGTACCTTTGCAGTATCAGCTGACCGACTACCTTCTCAAAAGACACGCCAATGGATATGCACGAATAAAAATTCATACCCTCCGTCTCGAAAAGCGTAATAATACCGATTGAATTGAAATTCGTGCCTGATATGTCCGGGCACAGCCACTCCAACTGCTCCAACCATCCAAACATAACAAAATCCGCTTCTTCACATGCTCTTTATCATCTTCTCCAGCTTTTCTTTGTTTTGTTTTGCGAGAAAATGGAAAGATGGTGCAGAAAGGTAAAGAGAAAATTAACATGACTGGATAAAACAGTCTGACAGAGAGAGAGGTGAGCACGCAACGCGGACAGCATTCTGCGATGCGGGCACCGCCGCTGTGTGCTCACTCTCTTCTGTCAAATTCTGTGATATTCAGAAATTATGAAACAATGAAAAAGTGGAGCGGGGAAGAAGAAGATGAAAGAAAAAGGAGGAAAAACAATTATTGCAGCGAGAGATTTTTCTTCTCTTTTTAGGGTTGTTCTTCTGGTTTTCTGAAACGGAACGGAGGTGGGTGGAGGGCTTTAAGGCCACGGGCCAGGTTACGGTTGCCACGTGTCGATGGCTCATTCTTCTGCAGTAGAATTAGGAGTCGGAAATAAAAACACGAATAATTTTTAATTTTGAATGTATTCTAACAAATTTAAATTTTATGTTTATGTAGTCTCCAAATTATTGCATTTGATTTAAAATGAAATCAAATACTTTTTATTTTATGAGTATTTAAAATAAAATCAATAATTTTATTAAGATAATTGAAATAATATATATGATTTTGTTATATTTAAAGAACGCACGTCAAAATTTGCAGGCATACCACTCAATTCTAACGTATTTACATATAAAATTTCTGAATTTTTATGTTTTAAATTTAATTCTCAAAATTTTCATTTCACATCATAAATATTATTATTTTAATTTTTAAAATGTGGAATACACCTTTTCAGTCATAGTTAAGGTGCAGGATTTGAAATTTAGGTGTAGATATGCAGCAACATTGAAATTAAGTGGTATATATGTAATTCTTTGGTTTTTTTTTTTTTTAATTCAAGATCATTCGCATTATTTTCAATGCAAAATTGATGAAAAAAAAAAAGAGTTTACATTTGAATTAGCTCGCACATGACTTGATGACCTCTATGATTATCTTACGTTAGTGCACGAACGAAATGGGACCATATTTTCTCAAATCTCTCAAATTGTAGGTGCTTAAACATTTGCCTGTATGATTCTTAAGATAACTTTCAAACAGAAAAAAATATATTGATGCATTATCAACGAATTCTTGTTATTTAGCATGAATCCCCAAATTCCAATTCAAGATTATGTAGAGCTCTGATATATGATCAAACTGACTGTCTCAACAAGATAATCCAATGATATCAAAGTTAGTCTAATCGTAGTCTGATCAAGTAAAGCACAAGTCATTAAAGCATATTTAAAAGATTTTGATCATTAATTGTATGGTCAAATGAAATCCAAAATTGACATAATCTAGTGAGCCAACAATCACCCAATTCTGAGGTCATTAAGGTCATTACATTATTTTTATGAACGAGATGAATAAATGTGGGTTATTTGATCGGGTGGTTACGGGAGTTATTATCCAAGTGACAAAAATGCCTCTTTTTCAAGGCTATAAATAATCCCTTCTCTTCACTTGAGGGGAGAAAAGGAGTCTAATTCTTGTGTTGTTCTGGACTGAATACCAGGCAGTAATGTCCCGCTTGAACCTAACTTGAACCCAACTATAAATGTTGGGTCTAACTCACATTAGACTCAACCTAAACCTTAAACTTAGCTTCAACCTAACTTGAACCTAACCCTAAATGTTGGGTCTAACCCATATTAGACCCAACCTACACCTTAAATATAGGTTCAACCTAATTAGAACCTAACCCTAAATATTGAGTCTAACCCATGTTAGACCCAACCTAAACAAAGGTTCAACCTAACTTGAACCTCATACTAAATGTTGAGTCTAACCTATATTAGACTAAACCTTAAACCTAGGTTCAACATAACCTGAACCTAACCCTAAATGTTGGGTCTAGCCCATTGTCGACCACTGACCATCGATAGTGCTTTGCTTGCCACCGTTGATTGACTCTTTTGAGTAACAAAGAACTTTGTTGAGTGGCAGTATCCCTGAATATGGTGCAACGAATTACCTCGAATTTGGTGTAACGAAGTACCTTGTATTGTAACAAAGTATCATGAACGTGGTGTAGCAAAGTACCCCGAACACCATGTAATAAAGTATCCCGAATGATGTGCAATAAAGTTCCCTAAATGCATTGTAACAAAGTACCTCAGACACAATATAATGATGTAAGCTGAATGTCGGGTAAAATGTCCTGAATATGGGGTGACAGAGTCCCAAATATGGTATTATGAAATATCCCAAAGATGGGGCAGTGGAGTATCCCAAATACAATGCAACGAATGATGTTGTACTAAAGATTTGGTGATACCTCCTAGTGACAACTAATTATGATTATTGTATTCATAATATGACGATTTTCTTCAAACTTCTGAAGTTTTTTATACATCACATTTTAACAAGTGCTGCTCTGGCATAAAACACTACAAAAAAACAACGAATTAGCATCAAAATCAGCATAAAAAATTATTTTGACGCAAAATTATCATCTGATTTGCGTTCGTTTAGTGTTGTGCGTTTGTCTCAAACATAAATAAGTCAACGCAGACGAGTAGTGTCTCCCTGCGATGCTAAGTAGACGCTTTAGCGTCAGATTAGCGTCGCTTATGGCCAACACTAATTTCACTTATTAGCGTCGGAATTAGTAGGCGCTAGTTCTGATGCTAATGCCCTAATAAGCTCTTCCCTGCTCGCAGCTGAATCATTCACTCCTTTCTTCTCCATCGCATAAGTTCTCTCCCGACCGTTGCTCCTTCATGTCTCAGCCCATTTTTCGGCGTCTCTAGCTAGTTTCTCCTCTTGATCTTCTTCAAAGGTGAGAAAACTTCATCTACACCTCCAAGCATCAGTTTTACACAAGTTTCTATGTTATTTTTCGTAGATATGCATTGGTGTTAGACTTGAAATTCAGGTTTCTTTGTTAACTTTGCAATGCATATCAATTTGATAATTTTACATAAAATTTAAATGTTATGTGCCTAAATATAAAATTTTAGGTGAGAGATGTGTAAATATATAAGAATTTTGTGCAATGCATGGAAATGCCCCCAAAAAAAATATTTATTGATTTGAATGTTATGTGCATAATTTTAGAACTTTAGATGTGAGATATGTAAATACATAAGAATTTTATATTATGTATATAAATAAGATTGGAGTGCTATTTATCTAAGGGAGTGTTTGGCACGATACTTTTAACAAGATTCATGTTAGATTTAACTTAAATCCAACCAAACGCCATAACTAGATTTGATAAATTCAGTGTTCAGTTAAATTCAAGTTTTTGCTTGCTCTGTTAATTAAATTCGGATTTACTGAATCCACTTATTAGTATGATTTAAGAAATTTAGCATGAGAAAAAAATATTTCGAATGGATTTATTTCGGAGACCTCATATAGATTTAACTGAATTTAACCTTAATTGAACCAAACATTATTTCAACTATAATGATGTTTATATTTAACAAATTTGAATTTAACGAATTTAATAAGTCCTATTTAACTTAAATCCTCATTGCAACCGCACACCCCCTAAATATGAATTTTGTGCAATGTATGTTAAGCCAAAAACAAATAATAATTTGAAGATCTTAGTGCTATCTAACTAAATATGAAGGTTTATGTGTGAGATATGTAAATACATAAAAAATTTGTGCTATGTATGTAGATACCCCAAAAAAGTTTGTGTTAGTTGGGTTTAGCACAGGCTTTGTATTTATGTGGTGTAAGTGTTATTTTCGATGTGATATTAAAGATTTTCTAGTTCTTTGTATAAATATAAAAGGTGAGGAGAGTGATATGTAAATACATAAGAATTTGGTGATATGTTTATAACTACCCCAAAAAATAGTAAAGATTTGAGTGTTATGTGTAAATTTATTTGTAAGATATGTAGATACATAAGAAATTTGTCCTATGTATGTAAATGTTCTAAATAAGTTTGTATTAGTCATGTATTGCTTAGACGTTGCACGATTTTTTTTTTTTTTTTTTTAAAATGTAAAGCTTAGGTTGTAGTCAAGCAGCAGCTGTCTGGTAACAAATTTAAGTAGGCCGCAATAATGTTTTACTAATCTATAGAGCTACATCTATGATGTAAATTAATATCTGAAACATGAGATTATGAATGTATAAAAGATTAAATCCAGAAAGAAAATGACTTGCTGACGAGTTTTTGGCTAGTATTGAGGAATTCGTGCAGGCGGCATCAGAACTCCATGTTTATCATTCAGACGGCAGGTCCGGATGCCTCCGTGCGAATCACAAAAATCAAGCATGCTTGACTCCTGAAGAAGTAAAGTTGGATTTATACTGTAATGGATTTAAACTCGATTATTGGTATTAGATTTCACATGATTAATTTGAACTAGATATTCATTATGGTCAAGTTGTAGTCTCATCAAGTTATGCCCCTCCAATGGTTCACGATTTTGTCATATTTGAGGAAATGATTGTTGATATTAGTAGGGCTCATTTTGTTGGAATATGTCTGATGATGATCAAGAACCGAACTATGAAGCACAACAATTTTTTGAATCAACAAATATTACATAACAACCTTTATGGGAATGATGCACTTCACATATTGAGTCATCGGTTGCCCTGAGAATGATGAATATCAAATCTGATTTTAATGTACTTAGTGAATGCATTAATCATGTAGTAACATTATTAAAGAAGACGAACCTTGCAGATAATTTAGTTTCAGAAGATTTGTACAAAACTAAAATGCTAATGTCGAAGCTAGAGCTGCTATCTGAAAAATATTGATTGTCGCACTAATGGTTGTATGTTATGTTACAATGAAGATGCATAGGTGATGAAATGCAAATTTTGCAATGGTAATAGGTTCAAACTAAGAGGGAAAAAGAATTAAAATTAGAAAAATGTTCCTTGCAAGCGTCTCTTTTACTTTCTTTTCATTTCACGACTTTAGCGATTATTTGTTTCCATGTGCACAGCTCCTCGCTAGACATGGCATAATACCATATGTGTTGGTGCTAATATAATGACTCATCCTTCAACTGGTGAAGCTTGGAAACACTTCTAATTTAGTCATCTTGATTTTGTAGTAGAACCACAACGTTAGACATGGCCTATGTTCAGATGGATTCACACCTTACAGTCACGTTGCAACACCATATTCTTGTAAGATGCATAGGTAATTCCTGTTAGACAATATTTATCACATCATATAATTTGCCCCCAAATACGTGTTTGACAGTGTCGTTCTTACTTCTAGCATTGATCATACTATATCCACATAACCCAATGGAAAAAAATTGATGTGTACTCATAACCTCTTATGTACAGGGCAACAAGTATTAT